GGCGGCTCGGCCGCAAAGGGCGGGCGTCATCGCGAGGATCGGTCGTAGAGGGATGACCGCGAAGCCAAGGTTAACGGAGGGCACGTGGCAGATTTCGAAGAAATCGGGTGGTTGCTAGGAGACGTCGTAGGGGAGTGAAACATATAAAATAAGCGCGGGCACCGGGCCCGTGCTTCGCTTTATATTTGCTACTTCGAGATTTACTTCGCATTTGGCATTACGGATTGTACTTTATATTTGTCACTACGAGACTCACTTTGTTTTGTCATTACGGACTTTACTTTATATTTGCAAAGACCTTCATTGCGTGATCAAGTATTTCGGCATTTGATTGTAATACTATTGACGTCTATCACTCGCTATCAGACTAAATTATAATACATTTGTGATAACATAATCGAAATAAATTTGTGCGTTTTCACCGTCGTAAAAATTGAGTTGTTCCGATACAGGAACTGCAAAACTGTCTAACTCCATACCGAGAAATTTACAATGACCTGGTAAGAACCACCAAGCAAAGCAGAATTACAGATTTTTTAAAGAGGAAAGAAGATGCAACTTTAAATGAAAAAAAAGTTCTGAAAGTGAAGGCGGTATCATTCTACCGATTTAATATCTCTCAAAAATGGCTTCAAAAATCTCAACAAACTTATTGGTGGAGGAGAAGAGAGAGGGGGAGGGAGTGTGCGAATTGGGTGTTAGTGTTCAGTTTGTCGTGGGTGTCGGCACTCTGAAGATGCCTAGTATCAGGTGCATTCGATACCCCCCCGTCAAAATAATGGTGATGGAGCCGCCGCACTCCCAGACTTAGGACGGATAAGCCGCATCCACAACACCGGCAGAAGAGGTGATGGCCACGGCGACACTTAGCAGCGAGGACTCGCAGATATACGTGGTCGGGGCAGAGTCACTTGTGGAAGAGAGAAGGACCCTGAGGACGAGTATCAGAAGTGTCTCGCCGCGAGGGTGGATATTAAGGATAGATTGGCTATCCGGAAATCTGCTGCATCGACCGCGGTAGCCAAGAAGAAGGCCGCAACGAGAAAGACAAGTGCCAAATTATGATTTTGCCAGCGACAAAGAGGAGGAAGCCAAAGGGAGTGACTCCTCCCAAATGTCAGTGAATGAAGGGCTGGGCTCATGATCGGCCAAGAAGAAGGGCAGGCCGCCGGGAGCGGCAGAAGCCGCCATCGTATCCAGAGGGCCGTTGACGCTGGGGAGGCAGAAACGACTCACGAAATGAACGCCTCAACAGAGAGAGGAGGAAGGCCATTAAGCTTCAGGCGGAGGAGGTGGCAATGGCCGAAAGAAGAATCGCGGTACTGCGTGAGCTGGCCCTGGCCGAAGAGGAAAACTCAGAGAGGGAGGTCGAGTAAGGGAAGCTTACCCCTTACAGATATAAGGGACATCGCCAAAGAGGCGAAGCATCTTCCCGAAAGCGACTTGGTGGCGCAGGTGCATATAATGGTCGAGGTCAGATTGGTGGCTGAGAAGTCCACCGACCTAAAGGGTACTTATTTAGATACCCTTCCTAAAAAGGGAGATTTAGTTGTTTATGTAGAATAAAAAAAAAATATTTGTTTTTAATAAGTTTTCGGAACGTAACCCCCCTTTTTGTACTGACTCTGGGTCTCATACAACACGGTTTCATACAACACGGCACTATCTAGCCTAACCTATCTACCGTGTTATAGGAAGGTTACCTGTACTGTTATTCTCAAGAAGTGCATAATCTGCTACAATGCATGTTGTCTCATGTAGACCGTGAGAGTATAAAGAATGAGAAATATATCTTTGAAGCATCATTATTGGCAAAAAAAAATAAGATATTCAAGGATTAGCAGATCCATATTTAAAATTCATGACCATTATTGATAGTAGGAATGAAGAAGAGACAAATCAATTTATTGATGAAGATTAAGCCCCGATTAACCTACAAAGATTAACTCCCGCTGTATCAAACTCACATTGCATCAACACGCTGTATAATATTACTAATTTTGTTTAAATAATAATAGAAAATCATCTTAGAACAAGTAAAGAAGATTAAAAATATAAATCTTCCACATAAAATATTTTCAAGAAACAAATAACTATTAATAAAAGGTATTATTGACTTGTACAAAGAAAGCAACCTTCTTGGGAGTAATTATAAAAATATATCTAAAAGGACAGCTATACGAAAAGATGAAAGACAGTATATTAAATGGAATCTTTGTTTTCTGCCTAAATATAATGAGATTGTAGATATGTCGATTACTGGTAAAAATAAGTTGTTATTAATATTCTTAAAACGTTTAACAATTCATATAATAAATACCAAAATTTAATTATATGAAAAAGGCATTTAATAATAAAACGTTTTCAGATAAATTGATAACTCAAGATACAAAAGTAGTTAATGATCAAAATAATTAACAGAACGAATTTGAATTTAAAAATGAAAATTACGTATATATTATCATTAGAAAATTAATACAAGTAGAATATGTAGCACTTTATATTGTTAGCTTGATAACAAAAATGTAAAATGACAGAATTATTAAAAGAGATAATTTGAAAAAGTTTATTAGAAAAAGAATCATATATAATCCGCCTTGCTGAATTATTATCCATTGAGAATATAGTACACGAACTTCTTCTGTATGAAGAAGTTTGTAATAAAATACTCGAGAAGAATGGTATCAATGTTGAAAGCATGAATAATACAATTAAAGAATGTAAACCCATAAAAAGAATTTTAATTGTATTAAGCAAAAGAATTGCCTCAGAAAATGGACCATCTGACGAAATAGTTAAATTAATCAAAAATATTTGCTAATCTTAGGATTAATAAATAATATAATTCTTTACTTATCCTATCAGCATGAATATAAGAAAGCAAAAGAAATAGCGAGTTTAGAACAAAAAATGAGCATATAAAGTATTGACAGATAAAAATCTAATAGAAGATGGTGGCCTAATTGTATGGGATAAATTAAATTTAACTAAATTAATAAATTTTCCAGGGTTAAAAGCAAAAAGCCAGAATAAAGTTGAAAAAGCAAAAAGATTTTATAACAAAGTGCTTAGAAAAAACCCTTAATGTCGGTACCAAGGAATTTTTGCTAATTTTAAGTCATAAAAAGCATATACTAAAAGTTTTCCGAGAGAACATGAAGAATCTTATCAAGAATATGAAAGTCATGAAAAAGAATTGTAAAATTTACACTGGATTTAACAATAGATACTTCAGGTTATAATAAATAGATCTATGTTTGCATTAAAAAATCATAAAAGTATCTTGATCTTTTAGCTTTATCCAATGAACTCAAAAAATATCTTAACGTTCTAGATATAAGAATTTCTATGAGCTATAAAAATATATTAGAAATTGATTATGAAGTGGTACATGAGATTTATAAAGAAGTTTATGATAAATACAAAGATTTTGGAGTAGAGGTGGAAGGGTTCACGAATTATGGGGAAGATTACAAAAGAAAATTACCTGATTGGTGAAGAAAAGTA